TTCTCAGACAGATTCCCAGGTAGATTTCTCTATAAGTCTGCTTGAATATCCTCAGAGCATGTCATCTGGTTTTCTCCAGAGCCAAAGGACAGTGAGGATATATAAGATGGAAGCCAAAGTTTAATAAGACTTTTCCTTACACTCCATTATTTCTAACAACTTACTGATTCAGTAACCCAAATAGGAGGGCATCAACACTCAGGATATTGGCTGCTATAATCCCAATCTTCTTATTTATGTTTGCAGTAAAATGTGTTGTCATTGCTTGCTTGCTTTCTTTCTTTCTTTTTTTTTTTTTTTTTTTTTTTTTTTTTTTTTTTTGGTCTTTTTCATTTTTATTGGTACCAGGCATCAAACTCACAACTGCCTGCTTGCAAGGCAGGCGCTTATGCCGCTGAGCTAAATCCCCAGCCCTGTCATTGCTTTCTTTATGCTGAAATCTTTTTTTTATTTCCTTCCTTCCTTCTTTCTTTCTTTCTTTTTCTTATTCTCTCCCTCTCTTTCTTTTCTTTCCTTCTTGGTGGCTTGAGTATGTCCTCTACAAGTTTCCTCAGAAAGGGTTTATGTGAACATTCCCTAGACTCTTAGACCATAATATTCTCTTTTGTTGTGGGAGACCGTCAAATTGCACTCTCCTAAGAGATGAAGGCCCTTGCCTTGATCTTTACTTAACCTCTCCTTCAACCCTATTCACTGAGATATGCAGAGCTGGCTATATTGAAACAGATGTTCCCTTAATTGGCCAAAATAATATGATCAAGTCTGGCTAAGACACCAATAGTCTCATTAATGGTAAAGCGGCAACAAACGGGTGAGAATAGCCCCTGTGTTGATGGCTTGAATGGAGGCTCAAGCAAGAGCCTGTGAGATTCAAGGGCTAAGACATGAGATAACATTTCAGCTGAGGCCATGGGACTCAGAAAGAATTATACTTTCCTGGCAGTGAAGGTACCAGCCTTGCATACATCAAGCTGTCCTTGAATTGCTAATTGGAGGCCTTTGTGTCTGGTACAAAAGTGCTCTTTTTTTCATTACAACCAATGCCTGCTGTCATGGTTTATGTCAGTGACCCCCAAGTCTCATGTAATTATGCGTTTGTAATTGGTTCATTGTGTAGCACTCAGATTGGTGATGTAAGTGCTACACCTACCTAGGGGTGAAGCCAGGATATGGTGTAACAGTGGGAAGAAGGTGTGTGTGTCTTTTGCTGGTTTCCACCTTGCTGTTTGCAGCCAGCCATGAATGGCTCCCCCGCCATTGCAGCTACCTTGGACCAACTAAATATGGACTGAAACCTTCAAGAACTGTAAGAAATAAATCATTTCTACCTTCATTTTGGGTGTTGGGTATTTTGTCCCAGAATTAAGTAAAAATTAACCAAGACACCTGTAAAGTTTCTTTTTCCTAACACTCTGCTAGGACCCCTACCTACCTCCTTGATTAATACCAATAAAAGCCATGAGCTTTTGGACTCAGAGCCTTTTGTTCCACAGAGAACATTGGGTCATCCCAGATTTCCTCAACTGAAGAATACTGTCTTTGTCTTTCTTTTATATCCATTGCTTTGTGGAAGACCTGAACTCTTCATGGGGCATTTGGTATTTTGTTCTCTTTTGTTTTTTTGAGACAGGTCTTGCTTTGAAGTATAGGCTATTCTCCAACTCACTATGCAGCCCAGACTGGCCTCTAACTCATGGTAAGCCTCCTGCCTCAGCCTCCAGAGTGCTGTAACTACAGGTGTTCACCATGATGCCCAGTTCGTTATATTATTTTTATATCCACCTTGGCTGGAAATAAAAATCAGTAACACCCTAACACACACATACGCACACACACACACACACACACACACACACACACACACACATTTTCCCACAGGTATACTGGAAGAGTTACCCAATTTTGTGGGAGACTTAATTCAGGTTGGCAACTACTTTTTGTTTTTCTGAATCTTCATGGGTTTTAGTCTAGCAGTTTTATTTGGTAATGTTTTGGTCCTAATGATATTGGGTCATTTTCCTCTACAATACTGTGTTTATTTTCATCCTATTTATTTCTCCTTCATCTCAGGAAATTATTTTAGATGTTCAAAACCACAGTTTTCAATATTGTTCTCTTGTTTTTGAATTTCATCATCAGGGACTTTGTTTTTTGTATATTGGACTTCCTCCATCTTTCCTTTCTCCTTCCAATAATTTTTATTTTTTTCTTTGTTACATTCTGTTGCATTCAACAATTTCTATATTCTTTTTTCCACACTATATTTTCTATTACATTTGTCATACCTTTTGCTCCTTGCTGGTTTTTCATTTTTGTGAAGTGGTTTTGACTTCTCTTTTATTCTTGTATTGTTTTAATTCCCACCTGTAGTCTTCCCCCTTGCATTCTCTCCTACTATGACCTCTTTCTTGTATTTGTAAATGGGGTCTTGGTTCAGAGCTGCATGGTCTTGGTTGAGAACTGAAATTGCATACAAAATTATTTTTTATTCTTGTGAAAAGTTGAGTGATAATTTCCATCTTTGATGGTTTGGCTTTTGTAAGTGAGCTTTTGCACTGACTCTTCCATGTCAATAAGTACTGCTTTACATTATTTTTTGTGGCTAAGCAATGTCACAATTGTATGTATTACAACAATTTATTCCACCTGTATTGTACTATGGGGTTTGGGTTTGGTTTCCCTGTAAATCTTTGTACATATGTCCAATTGTCTCTTCAGAATAAGTTCTTAAAAGTGAAATTGCAGTGTTATAATACTCCTTTTTTAAAAAATAGAAGTACAGGAGTACATGTTAATTTTACAAAATGCTATGGTTTAGGGAATTTTAACACACCCTGATCATTTCAAACCCATTTTCCCTTTCAATGTTGGGAGCCCTTGAAGTTGGAAATCTACTACACTGAGTAAGAGATAAAGGGTGATATAGGGGAAATGGACTTCCCAGCCTACTACACATCCAGTACAAGTTCATATTCTCTAAAACTGAAGAATGAATTTTAGGAACTACAGAGGTTAAAAGCAGAATATATTTATTGAGAGAAAGAAAGTTTCTATCTGAGAGAGACATTAGAGGTCCCGAGTGAGTTGCCAAAGAACTCTGTCTGGTTTTTTTTTTTTTTTATCGGTACCAGGGATCAAACTCATGACTGCACGCTTGCAAGGCAGGCGCTTATGCCGCTGAGCTAAATCCCCAGCCCCAAGAACTCTGTCTTTTCTAGGGACTTGTATAGAGTAAAACCACGAGGTGAAATGGGTCCAAGATGGGAAAAACTGGAAACTCACAAGACAGATGTGCATGAGGTGGAACAGAACTATGGTCAACCAGTAAGATTAATTGTTCAGGTAAAATTGACATTTAACTCGAAAGGAAATTGATAGACTGAAAGTGAAAGGAGAAAAGACAATACTCCACATGACAGGGAATAAGGAACTGCAGAACAGATAAGAATGATAGGGCATTTTTATACAATAGAGAACTATTCAGCTTTAAAGATAACGTTGAAGTTCTTGTAGGTAAATGGATGCAATTTGAGATCATGCTCATGGGTAAAATGGTTCAGTCATATGGATGTACATTGTGTTGTCTCTCTAGTGTAAAAAGATTGAGGGAGTTAGTGGGATCCAAAATGCACAATGGATATTGTGAAGGTGAAAGTCGGGAGGCATCTGAAAAGGGAAGGTGATAGCCATTGTTATTTTCCTATTATCTTGTTCTGAAGCTATATATTGTTTTCATTGTTGTTTTGCTTGGTTTTATTCTGTTTTGTTTTGTTTAATTTTATTATATAAGATGGTATGAGCAGCTATTTCAAAGATAACAGAATATATTATGGTAGCCATTACTGATTTCCTATTATCTAGTTTTGAAGTCCTATATTGCTTTCACTGTTTCATTTTGATTGATTTTACTCTATTTTGTTTCATTTGATTTTATTATGTCTGATGATATAGGCAGCTACTTTGAAGATAACAAGAGGCATTATAGTAGCCATTGTTGATTTCCTATTTTCTTGTTTTGAAGTTCTGTGTCATGTTCACTGTTTTCTTTTGACTGGCTCTATTGTTTTCTTTGGTTTGGTCTTATTATCTTCAAACTAAAAAAAAGGAGTATATAGAGATAATCAAACTGAAAATTTATTATTTATTTATTTATTTATTTTTTTGGTACTAGGGATCAAACTCATAACCTCATGCTTGACAGGCAGGCACTTAACCCACTGAGCTAAATTCCCAGCCCAAATTGAAAGTTTAATGAAAGTAGGGGACACAAAAAATTACTAACATTCTTAAAATAAAATACAAAAATATGTTAGTTATAGATAAGATAACTTTTTTGTCCTTCCAAATTCTTTTTATAAGAGATATCTGCTAATTGACCTACAACTATTCTGACTAGTCAATTTATAGTCATAAATTCTAAATTTGTAAAAAATATTGTAATTCAATTTGGTTATGATTTTGTAAGATGTTTGTCTGCTTGTATCTGTTGTCTGTTTGTCCAGTCTGTGAAGCTGTTGTTGGGAGTTGCTTACCTAGTGATCATTCACATGTGAGAGCCAAAAGCACAAGTGCCCACACATGAGTGCTCAAGGGCATAGAGTGCCTGAAAATTCCCTGAGGTAATGGGGTGCTTGAGGTGGACAGGAATTCCAGCCCTGAGAATGTGGGGTATAAGAAATGAGCTAGTGGGCCTGGGGATTTAGCTCAGTGGCATAAGCGCCTGCCTTGCAAGCAGGCAGTCATGAGTTTGATCCCCGGTACCGATAAAAAGGAAAAAGTCCAAAAAATGAAATGAGCTAGTTCAACAAAAAGGCATTATACAAGTATATATATATAGCCCCCTAGGAACTTAGAGTTCTCACAGAAACCAATAAGCTGTATGCTTGTTTCAATATGTGTCCTAATCTATACAGATTGTCCATGTTTGTCCACTCTGTAAATAGCTGTTCTCTCCTTTATGTGAGCTCAACAATTTTTTTTTCTTTCTTTTGCAATTTCAGATCATTTGATCAACATTTGGGCTATAGATTTAGAAAGCATGCTACATCTGGGTTCCCAACTAGTCAAAATGATGCCAAAATTGGTTGTGTAAGTACAACATATATTGTTATTATTGACTTGAAAGTCTCTCTCATTTAAAAAATTAAGGGGTTAAGTGTTATGATTCAGTTTTTCATAAGATAATTAAATAAAAATCCCTTTGGGTATGGGGAGCTTATTGGACAGGACTCCAATTGATGAGTAGCTGCCTCGTAAAATTAACTAGTTCTTGTTCCTTGATCAGACGCCCCAGTCATCACCATAGCTTTATGGGAGACACCCTAACTAGTTATAATAAAAATATTGTAAAATGGGCTGGGGATTTAGCTCAGCGGCATAAGCACCCGCCTTGCAAGCAGGCAGTCGTGAGTTCGATCCCCGGTACCAATAAAAAAGGAAAAAGACCAAATATATATATATATATATATATATATATATATATATATATAGTAAAATGTCCACATTGGTTAAAAATACAATAAGGTTTTTTTTTTGTCTTTTTGAGACAGATCTCACTGTGCATTCAGGCTGGCTTTGAGCTCCCAGGCTGCTCTCAAATTTGCAACCATCCTCCTGCCTTGGCCTCCTGAGTGCTGGGATTACAGGCATGAGCCAAGTTTTTTATATGTCTATGGCAGATTTTTATTATCCTCATGGTATATTCATGTATTCATGCTTCTAGATGTAGAGGTCTTCCAAAATGTAAAACAGGAATTATTTATAGTGACAGAATTTTGTTTCAGATTCAGACCTCTGTCTTTTTACAAAAACCAATGAGATGTACATGCCACTAAAGGTAATCAAGTTAGGTGAAACTTTCTTATGTTTATGGAGATGACTGACCAAAAAGGGGGTATCATGTATAAAGTGCAAATTCAAGTGTGTTACAAAAATATCATCATGATTGTCATGTTATAATTTTAAGTACAGTTTGGTTTCTCATTGTTTGTGTAAAATATATAACTTTGTTAACATTCTACAAGTACTCAAATGTTAAAACATCCATGGTTAAAAAATAATGGTTAGATAATAATTCTAAGATGCTTGAGATTTAGATAAAATAGTAATGTTAAGCATACTGTCTCTACTACACTGTACTGTTCTCAGTCTTTTCTTTTGGATGTTCAACAACTGAGGTTTAGAGACCAAACATTAGAGAGATACATGGGCTAAGAAGATAGCCAAAATTTTGGCCCTAGCCCTCTGAGGTCAATGAGGACCCAGAACATAAGAGAACCTTTGCTGGGGGCTGGGGATTTACTCAGCGGCATAAGTGCGTGCCTTGTAAGCAGGCCGTTGTGAGTTCGATCCCCAGTACTGATAAAAAGGAAAAAGAAAAAAAAAAAAGAGAGAACCTCTGCTGTGTCATCCAATAGTCAGTGAGTCCATGGTCTTCTGACCAAGATTGTGAGACCACAGAGGAAAGTGTGTGATGTGCCTAAGGAGAGTCACCAGGAGAAAAAAATCTCCCAAACTGTCATAGAAAGCAACCTGGCCAAGCAATGGCTGTGACTCATATAGCTGGCTGACACTGAGGGAAGAGCTAATACGTGCTATGCATGGCTCCAAGGTAATTCCTGAGGAGACTTAACTGACCTTAACAGATAGCAAGAGACTGATTGTATTTAATATAGATCTCACCTTAACTTAGTCTTGAACATCCTGCAGAAAAGTCTACCACAAAAGGTATGATATAATGTCATAGTCAATGTTGGCTATACAAGAAGCTCAAATCATTAACATCTTCAACAATTGCTGGCTACACTGGTAATTGACTACTGTTATGGATTAATGGATTGTACAGAGTTTAAATTGCAAAATACAAGGATTTTAAATCCTTGGACTGTATTTAAAATGAAAAGGGTTCAAAACTGAAAAGATCTTCTACAGAGTGAAAGGATTTTGGCCCATTTGGGACACTGTAGCTGGTGAAAAGCTTGGAGGCAGAACCAGGGGGCTCTATTTTGAGCTCCATCTTCCCCGCCCCTAGAAATTTACCTGTGGCACGAAATGAATACCAATGGGCTACCTGTGCATCACTAATGCCCCTTAGGCACCACCCCAAACCTAAGCTACATGTATGCCCCCACTAGACAATGCCAGATCCTGCAGGGTCAGGGGGTCTCTCCTTGCATTCTTAAAATAGAGGTCATTTATATTTCATACTTCTTATCTTTTCAGTTGCACTAGAATTCTATCATATAGTTCCCTGACTGGGAATCCAATTCTATCAGATGGTGCCGTGACTCGGATCAGCAGGTGAGTGACTTCTGGAATCCCCATTCCATGTCCCCTGCCAATTCACAAACTGGACTGCATCCTGGATTAATTCCTCACTTCTCCACACTCAGGAGCTGCTAAACTTGTCACTGCTGGTTTGCAAACAATTCCGGTCTAATTCATTTACCACAGGTGAGCAACCTCTGGAGATTACTCGGCCGCTGGGCCAGGCCCCATGCGGATTTTCTCCCCATTCCCTGGACTCGGGTAATGCTCTCATGTCCTTAGACAGCACAAGGCAGAGTCTTTCTCTGTGGGCCGGGCCCCACACTGGAAAACTCTCACGTCCTTTAGAGCTTTTAAGCTCTCACAGGCAGAACCGTTACTGAAATCCATGGGAAGTCCACTCATGTGTTGGTGACAACCAATTATCACAAGCTTTGGAACTAGCTTACTGATTACCGATTGGCCTACGAGGTAAAGATGATCAAAGTTGATTAGGCCACAATCTGTTGCCTCACCTGACTGTGACTCTGTGGGCCAGGCCCCACACCAGATTTTACGTTGGGGGCCATTTCCTGTCCCCCCCAAAAAACCATACCTATTTATAGCTTATCACACTGACGGCAAGTTTACAAAAACTCTCTATCTTTAGGCCTTTGTTTTGAGAATGTGTCCCCTTCTTTCCTTCCCACACCGCATACCACATTCCCTGCCAAAATGGGGGAAGTGTGCCCAAACAATGTTGGGAGATAGGCACGGGCTACTCTGGGTTCTCATGTGACACCCCAGCTCCACGCCAGGTCCTGGCTCCACACTGTGCCCTGCTCCACACACCCTGCTGCATACCCTGCAAGCAGTCCCAGCTACATGCCATGCCCCAGTTCCACGCTCCACCCTCACCCTGTGTGCATCTCCAGAGCAGATCTGGCTCCATTCCGTGCACTGTGCCCCGGTGCTAACTCTGCCATCACGCTGCATGCGCTGCCCCCATCCTGGACGCTCTGCCTGCCTTGCATGCTCTGCCCAGACCCTGGGTGCTCCATCCACCCTTTGTGTTCCACCTCCCGCGCTGTGGTCTCCCAAATAGTTCCAGCCCCCGCCCCAAATGCAAATGCGACTCTGACTGCAAACGCATCTCTGGCTGCCAGCGCAGAGACAACAAGTCGTAGCATTGTTGCTGATCTGATGGTGTATTCATGCTTTTAAATATAAAATTCGGATTGTTTCTACTGCCTTTTTATTGTGTTCCAGCCATGACAAATGTTTTCTTTCAGATCCAGACAAACGCTTAGAGATGTTTCACAAATTTCTTCCATGTTCAAATGTTAAAATGCTCATGGTTAATAGCCATTTAATGTTTTATGTTAAGCTTACTGCCTATATTATACTGTACTGTTACCAATCTTCTACATGTTTAACAATTAAAATTAAGGGCTGGGGATTTAGCTCAGCGGCATACGTGCCTGCCTTGCAAGCAGGCAGTTGTGAGTTCGATCCCTGGTACTGGTAAAAACGACAAAGACAAACAAAACAAAACAAAACAAAAAAAACAATTAAAATTAAGAGATAATTATAAATTCCTTTTGCTGTAAACCACTAGATCCAGAAAAAGATTATATGATTCAAAACAACAAAACCAACACTGCGGCAGAAGCCAGACTTAAACCTTTCCTAGCCTGTCTGCCTGCCCTGGCTCTGCCCTTCATCGAGCCAAAGTTAACTATATTCAACTGATGTTAGTGACACCATAGCTGATCTCTCTCCTAAGTAGAAAGGTAAATATTAATAAAACAGGCCATCCTCCAAAAATCAGATGGAATTAGACATTTTAATAACATAAAGAGATACTTATATATGACATAAATGACATGTCAGTTCCTAAAATTCTTTGGACATTGTCTTCCTTATGGAAAGTCATTACAGATATCTTCTACTATAGACCAGATCCCCAGACAAAAGGCTAGACTTGGCCCTAAAACCCCACAGAGACCTTCTTAATATGGCTTTTCGTGTTTTCAACAACAGAGATAGCAGTGACACTTGGAGTTCTGAGACAGGTAAACCGACACAAGGTGGAGCTGTCTGAGCCCCCCCATGGACCATGCCTCAAATGCAGCAGAAGGACATTGGGCAAGAGAGTGCCCCATCGTGGTGTTCCTTTGAGACCTTACCCCAGGGCTACTGGACTGTCCTAGCCACCAGAGAGTGGGTAAGCCGTCCTAACTTCTAGCCCTCACAGGAAATGCCAACACTGCCGGATTCATCACTGACAGATCTGCTTAAACTTGCTGCTGAAGACTGACAGGGGTCAGGGCCCACAGCCCCCTTTAAGGTGTCCGTCTCAGGGTACCAAGTCCCACTAAAAGTCTCAGCTAGAACATTCTCTAAACTTGTGGATATATCGGGTTCTTCCTGAGTTTTCAGGCTGCTATATTAAGTACTCAGTCTCTATAGCGGGTATTGATGGCCAACCTATGCCATTTACAAACAGGGCCTATTTCATACAAGTTCCAGACTGCTTCTTCCCAATCCACCCAGTGGTGGAAACTCTTATACCATGCTCTTTCATATCCTGCTCTCCACCACTCACTCACTTTACTGTCCCAAATTTTAAGAATGCTTTTTATTCCCTTGTGTTTATACAGAGTGACCCAGAGTGAGGTCTCAACATCTTACACCTGTTATTGCTAGTAAACCTCTCCTCAGGGATATATAGCACCCCTTCTTTCCTATTCACCAATTTCTCAGACACAACCCTGGTCAAGACTGACAGATAAATTTTATCTCCTCACCTTTGTTTATACTTTTTCAGGATAAATAAAAGCCTTTCCCATAACCAGGGAGACTGCTAATATACTCACTAAAGTCCTGTTACAGAAAATCATCACAAGGACTACAACAAAGTTAAAGCAGCCCATACCTGGTCTTCTTGGCAACCTCAACAATGGTCAAAGTTGCTAGACTGCCATCCTGGTTTCACATCACTCAGGCTAAGTGGTACCCTTCCAGTCCTAGATCTCACCATCCTTTTGCCCACTCATCTCCACCTCACCAAGGCCTCACAGACACAACTCTCAGGCTGTCATGTTTTGTTATCCAATTTGGTTCCTAATTTCTTATCCTTTTTATAGCAGGACTCTCAATAGTATTTCCTAAAGACTCCCACATCATGCATACCAGACACAAGCCTTATCTACCTATCCTCTTAACTTTTACCCTTTCAGATGGGGGAATAATCCTCTCTCATAACTTCACTCCTCCTAACCCCACATTTATTTTTCAGTATCCTACCTTACCATGGCAATGAGTCTAGCTCAACATGGTCCTGATAAAATGACATATCAAAATCAAAGGCACCTTTCCTTCTACCTCACATGGGTCCTTAAATATGATAATGCCATGCCTCCTCATAACACCTTGTCTTTTTGTTTTTCCAGTCTAACCTACGGGCATTCACCAGTGATAAAGTTGTCCTGGTTAAAACACCTGGCAACAGTTTCTACATGGGCATCAACTGTCATCCCATCGACTCCCCAAAACCCCAGTACAGCACCCCCTTCCAGCAGGAAGCAGTAAAAGAAAAAAAAAAAAAAAAACTTCACCCTTTTTCCTAATAATCAAAAGATGGGACTGAAAGGATTTTGTCCCATTTGGGACACTATAGCTGGTGAAAAACTTGGAGGGCAGAACCAGGGGGCTCTATCTTGAGTTCTATCTTCCCTGCCCCTAGGAATTTACCTGTGGCACGAAATGAATACCAGTGGGCTACCTGTGCATCACTAATGCCCCTTAGGCACCACTCCAAACCTAAGCTACATGTATGCCCCCACTCCACATGTCCGATGGAGAGAATGCCAGCCCCTGGAGACGTTACCAGACCCCAGAGGGTCAGGGGATCTCTCCCTGCATTCTTTTTTTTTTTTTTTTTTACCTTTTTATTGGTACCGGGGATCGAATTCACGACTGCCTACTTGAAGGCAGGTGCTTATGCCGCCAAGCTAAATCCCCAGCCCTCTCCCTGCATTCTTAAAATAAAGGTCATTTATATTTCATACTTCTTATCTTTTCAGCCATGCCAGAATTCTATCATATGGTTCCCTGACCAGGAATCCAATTCTATCACAGAGTTCTCCAAACACAGCTTCTCTAACTTCAACTGATCACCCATCCTGTGCTACAACAAAACAGAAAAGTAGATGTTGGGAGCCATTGAAGCTGGAAATTTACCACACCTGTGGGGGCCAGTTAGCCTTGTCAGAGAACAAAGACTGCTGGGTGCAAGCTGCAGAAACAAGTAAAATTTTATCTATGAGTACAAGAGACTTTGGGAATATCTACTTATCTAGGGATGTATCACAACCAACAGGTAAGGCCATTACCTCAGACACTGTAGGAAACCACAGAACAAAGTCATGTCCATTTGCACCACCTTTCTCAAGAAATGTCACCAAAATCCTGGATAAGAACAATTACACTAAAAACAGTTCCTCAAGGCAACAAGCTCCTCCCCTCTCAGCCTTTGTTTTACCCTCACTTCCATTTCCTGCTGATTGCTTTCTTGGAACTCAGCCCTCTCCTACTAGGTGAATAAACAGCCATTGTTGCTTACACAAAGCCTGCTCTGGTGGCCTCTCTCCTCACCATGGCTTTAACAGGATGCAACTCAATGATAACAAGATGTAACTCAATGGATTTGATCCTTAGCACTGAAACAAGAAAAAGGAAGGGAAGAAGGGGAAGGAAAGGAGTCTTTGACTTAGAAATTTTTAAATCTCCATTAAGCAACCCTGTGTCAAAAGGCAGAGATGAACTTTAGAATTTCTAAAATATAGATAATGGAAACACTACATGTAAAAATCTGCAGGAGAAAGCAATAACAGTAAATAGGAAAAAAATGCATGACCTTAAACATTTACTAAGATAAATGAAAGAATGAAAAGCACTAAATACTCAAAAAGTCAGGAAAGAACAATTTATACTAAACATAAATAGAAGAAATAAACAGTAAAAATGAAAACAGAATTTGATAAGTTAAGATGGTTAGAAAGAGAAAATATTAGAAAAAAGTTTATAACTCTAGTTCATAGAAAAAATCAGCACCAAAGAAAAATAACTATCAGTGGATTAAATTTGTGTGTGTATGTGTATGAGGTACCTGAGGATTCAATATAGGGAACATTCAACTATATCCCGGTCTTTTATTTTCCTGGTACTGAGGATAAAACCAGGTTCTTCATGCTGAGCTACATCCCCAGTCCTTTTTAAAATTTTTGGTTTAGAGGTAGGGTCTTGCTAAGTTGCTCATTTGCTTAGGCTGAGCTTAAACTTGTCATCCTTCTGCCTCAGCCTCCCAGAGTGCTAGAATTATAGGTGTTTGCATGTAATGCATCCCCTTTTAAATTTTAAAACAATGTCTTGCAAAGTTGCCCAGATTGGCCTCAAGCTTACAATCCTCCTGCCTCATCCTCCTGAGTAGTTGGAATTAAAGGCATCTGCTACCACATAAAAGTAATTATTTAATATTTATTTATTATTTTGTTTTTTGTCTTTTTGAGACAGGGTCTTGCTATGCAGTTCAGGCCAACCTTGATCTCACTTTGTAGCTCAGGCTGGTATTGAACTTGCAACAGTCCTCCTGCCTAAGCCTCCTGAGCGCTGAGGTTACAGTTGTGTGCCAGTACACCTAGCTCCAATTTAATTTTTAAAAGAAGTACATAAAATAATGTACTTCAGGAAGAAGTTAACCACTGAAGATGATATGAAAATTCACTGAATTTTGAGAAAACAGAACTTTAAAAACTGACCCCATCAGAAGTAAAAAGTTAAAAAAGTAAAAAGATAAATTGCTAGGTTTGGTTTGACTCCATTTTGATTTATATCACTGTCATGGTTTATGTTTGTGTCCCCCAGGCCTGATGAGTTTGCATTGTTCATATGTGATGGTTCATTGTATAGTGCTTGGATTGATGGTGTCAGTGCTCCACCCACATAGGGGTGGAGCCAGGATGTGATGTAATGGCAGGAAGAAGGTATGTTTTTCTCTCTTTGCTGGTTCGAGCTTGTTGTTGGCGGCCACCATGAACTGCAGCCCAGCCATGCCTGCCTGTCTTGGAGCCAACTGAGTGTGGACTGAAACCTCCAAAAACTGTAAGAAATAAACCTTTCCTTTCCCAACTTTGGGCTTCAGGTATTTTGTCTCAGCGATGAGTAAAAAGTAACTAAGACAATCACACTCCCCCAAAAGTAGCAGACTCATATATGTTACAGAACAATTCTACCATTAAACAATGAAATCCTCTTTTTTAAAACAATGAAATCCTTTTTAAAATATTCTTTTAAATCATTTATAAAGGAAAACTTTCTAATTTCTTTTGTGAAGTGAATGTAATATCAATTCCAAAACTGAAAATATTCCAACTCTCTCTCACTAATACTCTTGTGATATATTTCTACCCATAGAATACTTTTGACACCAAATATGTACAAATCTTCCTCAGACCAACAACAAACTCTGATTCTATGAATACCAACTGGGTCCTCAACAGCTCAATTGAGACAATCAAAACGATTGGATTGGTTTTGTTTTGATTTTGTAGTGCTGGGGATCAAATAGGACCTCATATAGAAGAAACAACCCTATTCTAATGAGAACCTCACAGACCCACAGTATGGGTTCTACATACCATGTTCCACAAGAGGAACTAGAACTTCTTAGCATAAACTTGGGACAATCTGTTGTCCCAGAGAGCAAATAAACTATCAACTGTAATATATCATGACAAAAGGAATATGAAGTAGAGGGGGAAAAGACAAAGGAATTTCTTACAAAGGTCTCCTACTGGCTTAGAGAAAATAGACATTTTAAAGAAATGCAATGGTTTGAAACATATCAAATGCCTAAAAAAGTCGTAAGTCATCGAGTATTCAAAATTAACTCAGTTTTATGAGTTTTTAGGTTATAGAGTACCAACTAATTTCTCTGAAAACTAATATATAACAGGGAACAATCAAGTTATTTATTCTGCCTTAAGATAACCAAATAGATAATAAAGAAAAGTTCCTGGATTCAGGGTATACTGTAGTGGTAGAACATTTGCCAGCATGTTTGAGACCATGGATCTAATCCTTGGTGCAAAAGGAAAAATGAAGAAACACACACATATATGTATATATACACACACACACATATATATATATATACACACATTATATAGAGATGTAGATACATAGATTCTAACAAATATAAAACAAAATCTTTTTTGTTTGTTTTTCTGAGATAGGGTCTCATTATATAGTCCATTATATAGTCCAGGCTGTAAACTCAGCAATCCTCCTGCCTCAGCCTTCTGAGGGCTGGGATTACAGGCATGTGCCACCATGCCCAGTTTGGAAAATATTTTTAGATGAACATTTTTAATCCATAATAAAGTAAAGGTTCAATCATAATCTTTAGGCCAATGTTTTGTAACTTTTAAAATTATTTATTTTATTTTGTTTATTCAGGTGACAAGGTATTGCTGTGTTGCCCAGGCTGGCATTAACTTCTAGGCTCAGGTAATTATCTGGTCTCAGTCTCATGAGTACCTAGGATTATAAGTGGGATAAATATTAACTGTGCCTAGCTAATAGTTCTCATATTTTTAAGAAGTTTTCATTATCACCTCCTTAAGGAGATTTTTTTAAAGACCACACATAACATTTTATTGACACAGATACAGTACATGTTTTGATAGAATTTTGGCGCAGCTGAAAAGATAAGAAGTATGAAATATAAATGACTTTTAAGAATGTGGGGAGAGGGGCTGGAGATTTAGCTCAGCGGCATAAATGCCTGCCTTGCAAGCAGGCAGTTGTGAATTTGATCCCCAGTACCGATAAAAAGGAAAAAGACAACAAAAACAAAAACAAGAATGTGGGGAGAGACTCCCTGACCCTCTGGGGTTTGGCATTGTCTCTGGGGGCTGGCATTCTCTCCATCGGACACGTGGTGGGGCTTAGCTTAGGTTTGGGGTGGAGCCTAAGAGGCATTAGTGATGCAGTGGTAACCCATTGGTATTCATTTCACAAGACAGGTAAATTCCTAGGGGCGGGGAAGATAGAGCCCCTTGGTTCCACCTCCAAAGCTCTACAGGCTACAATGTCCAGCCAAGGGCAAGATTCTTTCATGTTTGCTCATGCATTGTGGTCCTTGTAAAGTCACAAACCATTGTACTAAGTTTTGTTTCTGCCAAGATCCAAGGTTTACCCCCTTTTCAGAAATAAACCTTTTCCCACCATTGATAATGCATGCTTTAGTGAAGAAAGGAGAATTTTACAAAGGGAATATTAAGTGACCAACATTTCAACACTGATCAATATGACACCATACTTTAAAAACCTCATAATGCAATGTAATAGAAAGAACACAGCACCAACTATGAACTGTTCGTGATTTGGGCAAAATCTGATCTGAATATGATCAAGCATCTAGATCTAACAGTTACATAAAACTAGGTGATCTTGGAACAAAAAATTTTTAAATATATTTGTACCCATTTATTTATTTATTTTCTTATTTATTTGGTACTGGGGATCAAACTCACAACCTTTTACTTGCCAGGCAGGCACTTAGGCCACTGAGCTAAATCCCCATCCCAGAACAAAATTGTTAACACTATAAAAAAGCACCCGGGCGTTTTGGCTCACGCCTGTAAGTCCAGCACTCAGGAGGCTGGGGTGGGCGGATTGTTGTGAGTTCGAGACCAGCCTGGGCTACAAAGTGAGCTCAAAGCCAGCCTTAACTGCATAGTGAGACCCCATCTCAAAAAACACACACACACACAAAAAGCAACTGGCAAAAATTAGAATGTGGAATATTCTATAGGGCAAATAATGTAGCTTTTCTGGGATTTAAGAAGGGGGGAAAAAAGCAAAAAGTGGTAGGGACAGTAGGTAGTGGCACACACCTGTAATCCCTCAGCACTGAAGCAAGAGAATTATCACAAATTCAAGACCAGCCTGAGCTACAAAGTGAGTTCAAGGCCAGCTCAAGACTCTAGCATAGCGAGGCATACTGAGTTGTCTCAAAAAGATCAAACAAACAAACAAAAAGTAGGAGGGAAACTGTCATAGATTTAGAAAGCTTAAGAGATCTGGCAACCAAAGCGATGCATAAAATCTACATGGACCTGATTTGAATACACCAATTGTATCTAGACTGGGAATAGGATATTACAGAAGTACTGTTACGTTTTTTTGTGTTGGTAGAAGAGCCTGGTGGTTATTTCAAAATATTTCATTTTTGGTCATATATGTATACAGAAGGAGGAAATAACTTAGAAACACTACCGGAAAAAAAAGAATGATTGATACATTGTTTTTAATTATAGGTAGGAATTGAACAGATTGAAGTTCTGACTTTCTAGTTTGAAAAGTTCTATGATGTTTAAAAGTCATCAATTTCTTTCTGGAAGGTGTAATTAGTTTCCATCAATCTAAGTTCAAAGAGGACAGACATATAACTGGGTGAAAGGTGAGGCTCAGTGCAGTAGATTTTTGGGGATTAGAACTAGATTTTGGGAGTGGCTAAGTACCAATCACCAAATGGCCAGTTCTTCTTTAGGGAGATTTGCAGGAGGTAGAAAACATCTTTAAAAGGAAGAAATTTAAGAAGATAAATAATGCAAACTTACTTCATGTGAGACTTTCAGATGTGTAATACTGTATTTTCCTCTGTGTGCTTCTCCTGGAAAAGGTAAAACAAAGAAAATAAAGACCTATATCAAAACATCCTCAGCCAGTAAAACTATTTTTTTTGAATCGGTAAAGGGATCAAATTCACTACCACACACTTAGCAAGGCAAGCATTTATGCTGCTGAGCTAAATCCCCAGCCCTCAGTAAAACTATTTAGAACCATCTCCCACACCGGCTTTCAAAAGGGAGAGAGATGTCTTCTACAATGGGCTCTCAGCAAGGTCAGGCCTGGTTAGTACTTAGATGGGAGACCAAAAGGGGCTCTCAAAGTAGAATGAGACATCTATTTAGTGACATTTCCAAACCTAAATCCTGGTTAGAAGAACATCATCAAGAGTCTTGTTCTCTGTAAAATCACAAATAGCTACAGCTATGACCATCCAAATGTCAGCTGACAATAAGGGAAGAGCACAGAGGTGCGGAAGAGAGCATTTATTAGTTGTTGTAGGTGGCACGTGATACTAAGGCATTCGGGAAATGTAGTTTAAAACTGTTAAGTAGATTGTATTCATCTCACTGTTCGCCCATCATATGTGGGCCTGGGTTGTGAAGTGTGTAGTAGTACCAGTTAGGTTCTCTTGCTCAAACTGTGACTCACTTTGCCAAAGTCTGAGCAGTCCTATTTAATTTTACTCAATAGAATCTCCAGCAATCAAAAAATCTGACACAAAAGAGGTTATGTCTTGCCTTGATACTCTCAAGGAAAAGTAGCCTGGGGCTGGAAAAGCTGCAAAAGACTGAGAGACAGGGTCTGGATTTCTCTCAGAGCTCTGAGCCAGACAAAACCCACAATAACCAGATAACCAGGCTGCTGCTGGAGTATTGTACTTCTGGCAGAATGTGCGTGTGTGTGTGTGAGCATGCACGTGCCTATGGAGGAAGAGAAGACCATAGCTACCCTGTGATAGTTATGTATCAGGTTGAGGCTGTAAAAGGAGGCATTAATGGACCATCTGAATTGTGTGTCAGAGATTGTTTAGGATGCAGTGATAGTTTCAGGAGTAACAAGATTAATCAGGCAGCAACCAAATATAAGAACATACTTTCGTTTGCATGCCTATGTCTTGGAATAGATATTTTTGGATCTTTATAAATTAAATGAATTGTACATTGAGAATCCATTTGGGGCTGTAAATGTGTGTGGGGGGTGAGCATAACATTGTGAGGACAGCCCAAACTCTGAAATGCTACGGTGGTATCTCCATGCATCAATTTCCTCTTGAGTAATACTTTGGAATATTGCTGTCCAATAGAACTTACTAGAAAAGTAGATTCCTTTTTTATATCTGTGCTGTCCAATATTGTAACCATTATTCATGTAAGCTATTGAGAACCTGAAACATTGCTGGTTTGACTAAAGGAATGGGCTTTAAATTCTGATTAATTTTAATTAGTCTAAATTTAAACAGCTAGCTGTCTGTAGCTTATAGTCTTTCTATTGGACATTGGAACTTGAAGCATCAATTTGCCTTAAGCGTCTGCCTTGCAAGCAAGCAGTTGTGAGTTGGATCCTTGGTACTGATAAAAAGGAAAAAGACAAAAAAAAAAAAATCAGAAGGGAGCAGTTGAGCTTGGTGGCACACCATGTAATCCAGCACTCTGGGAAACTGAGGCAGGATTGCAAATTTGAGCATAGGGGCTGGGGGATTTAGCTCAGTGGCATAAGCACCTGCCTTGCAAGCAGGTGGTCATGAGTTCGATCCCTGGTACCGATAAAAAGAGAGAGAAAAAAAAAACAAAAAATTTGAGCCTAATCTGGGCAATTTAGTATATTAGTGACTCTGTCATATGCACACACACACACACAAATTAACAACCTAGGGATGTAGCTGAAGTGCAAAGGCCCCAAGTTCAGTCCCCAGTATGGTAAAACAAAATTTGCAGGCAGTTAAAATCTAATTGATCTGGTAAATATTTGAAAAAATGAATTTTATAGTGAATGAAAAGAGATGAAATACAAACTCACCCTTAGTCTTTTTTAAATTGAGGAGTAATTTATATAAAGTTGATTAAGTATTACATATACATCTCAACGGTTATTTTCATAGGTAGCCACCACACACAGGTCAAGATAAAGATGCCAGAATACTTTCTTATGCCCCATCTACTCAAACTGACTTCACCCAGAAATGACTATTATTTAGATTTCCAGCCCCATAAATTACTAGTTTAGGATAATTTTGAACATTTGAAAGTGATCAGTGTTTTTATTTTGTTGTACTGGTTTTCTGAGACAGGGTCTCACTATGTAGTTTAGGCTGGCTGTGAACTATGTAGCTCAGACTGATCTCAAACTCACAGGGATCCTCCTGGTTCAGCTACTTGGGTACTGATAGTACAGATGTGTGCCACCACACCTGGCAGTGAATGTAACGTGATGATATGTGCCCACACTGCAAGTATATAGTACCTCAATTTTAAGTACTCAACAAGCTTAGAGTGACCTCATATAAAAGTGTAGGTCTAACCCATTAATTTCCACACATAGATATGGTAATTGCTTTCTTTTATTGATTCTTGAAACATATGAAGTGCTTACAATGGGACAGGTATCATAATGCAGTGTTAAGAGGTAAACAAATAGTCTGAACAGTCCCACATACATCAAAAGATAATTAAGATACCAATGTGTAGAGCATTGGCAACTTCCACAAAAAAAAAAAATTCTTTTTTGAGACAAGGTCTCACTAGGTAACCCAGACTGGCTGTGAATTTACAGTAATCCTCCTGCCTCAACCTTCCAAGTGCTGGGATTACAGGAGTGGACCACCATACCTGGCTTACAAATTTTAATATACAGACATTTTAAAAAGTCATTTGCTTCAAACTGGTTATAATTTAGTAGTTAATTTTATTTTTAGAAGAACACTAAGAAAATTTTCAAATACATAAAAATTCATTTAAAAAAATCAAGAAACAAATAAAAATCATGTGTTCAACACTCAGTTTGCCATCACTTTGCCACTTATTTACCTTCACTTTTCTTTTGCAAGAGCATTTTAAAGGATATTCTAGATATCACATTATCTTCTGTGAATGTACTTGAGAATTTATGTCTAACACAGATATTTTTCACATAACTACAGTACTATTATCCATACCTAACAAAGTTTCTTAATATTACCTAATACTTTCAATGTTCCCATTTCCTCAATTGTTGGAAAAATATCTTATTTTAAATGTTCGTTCAACTCATGATCTAATTAAGAACCACTCTTTCATGGCATTTGATAGATATGTTTCTTAAAAATTCCACTTTCTTTTTTGCAATGTCATTGTATTCACTGAGAAAGCATTTTATTTGTCTTGTAGAACTACTTACATTTCAGATTTGTCATGTCATGTCATTTTTTTTCCATTTCTTAATTTTTTTGAACTGGAATTAGATGTTCAGGCTAAATTCAGATTCAATACTCTGGCAAGATGCGTACCCTGTAACATTAGGAGGCACATATCATCTTATGGTCCTAGCTTCACGAGGTTGAGTGACACATGGGTTCAGATGTTGCTAGCCTGATCTACTCACTAGAAGTTCAAGTTAATCTTTCACTCAAGACATTAATCTCTATGGAGAATTGTCCCTACTTACATTACTATAATGTGTTTTTTCTAGTAGAGTTTTCCAATTCTACAATATTTTTCTGCAATCATTTGCTAGAATTCTCTATAAAAACCTTCACATTACCAATTGCTGGTTGCTAGTAAATACAGTTTATACAGGAAACACAGGCTAAATGATATTCCTTTTATTTAATTATTAAGTTACACTATGAATTCGCTGATGGTAAGTAAGGTGTGAATGCTGTCTAAATGCCTTCTTACATTCTTCACATTTGTAAGGCTTCTCGCCAGAATGAATCCTCTGGTGTTGAATAAGCGAGGAACGAAGTCTAAAGGCCTTCCCACATTCCTTACAGTCATAGGGTTTCTCACCAGTATGAATGCTCTGGTGCTGAGTTAGTTGTGAGAGCAGTCTAAATGTCTTCTCACATTCTTTACATTTATAGGGTTTCTCACCAAAATGAATGCTCTGATGTTGAGTAAGTTGTGAGAACAGCCTAAAGGCCTTCCCACATTCCTTACAGTCATAAGGTTTCTCTCCAATATGAATACCTTGATGGGAAATAAGTTCTGAGTAACGACGAAAGAATTTCTGACATTCCTTACACTCATATGGCTTCTCACCACTATGGATTCGCTGGTGGAGAGTTAGATGATAGCCACGACTAAAGGTCTTCCCACATTCCTTACAATCATAGGGCTTCTCACCAGTGTGGATTCTCTGATGGAGAGTAAGTTGCTGCCGCACTCGAAAGGCCTTTCCACACTCCTTACAGTCATAGGGTTTCTCACCAGTGTGCAGTTTGTGATGGATTCGAAGGCCAGTACTACACAAGAAAGCCTGACCACATTCCTTACACTCATAGCACTTCTCAGCAATATTAAGCCTCTGATGTCGAGTAAGGTGTGCGTACTGTCTAAAGGTCTTGCCACATTCCTTACACTCATAGGGTTTCTCACCAGTGTGAATCCTTTGGTGGAGATTAAGTTGTCCTCGTACCCTAAAGGCCTTCCCACATTCTTTACATACATATGGCTTCTCACCAACATGAATTCTTTGATGTACACGAAGATCTGAGCTACACATAAAAATCTTTCCACATTTTTTACACTCATAAAGTTTGTCAGATGTATGAATTCTTTGATGTCGACTAAGATGGGCACACTGTCTAAAGGTTTTTCCACATTCTTTACATTCATAGGGTTTCTCACCAGTATGGATTCTCTGATGGAAAGTAAGTTGTTGGCGTACTCTAAAAGCTTTCCCACAATCCACACATTCATAGGGTTTTTCTTTCTTTTGATTTTTCAGATATAAAGCAATCGATGAGAATTCTCTATAAGTGGCTATTTTTTCAGGGGTACTTTTTGTCACTTGCCTGAAGTATACCTTGTAGGGACTCTCTTGTCCCTCAAACATTTTATATTCACAATCTTTTCTGAAAAAAGAGTCTTCGAACCCACAACTTCTAACTCTTTCCATTATTTCCCACTGAGATAAATTGATTTCATAGAAGTCCTTTTCTTCAAATAACTTTTTAGTGTCACATCTGGATCCCAAATCTGAAAGAAAACAAGACAAACATGATATTTGGGGCCTGACATTTTGAGGAACTACTGATTCAGTGCCTGTTTGACCTTAAATAAATCTGCTTCCAAATCCTGGGTATCATTTTGGTGTTTCTGTATACATTGCAAGGGGAAAGACACCCAGAGACACACAGAGAGAGAGAAAAACAAAGAGAGACAGAGACAGAGACTTAAAAATGTTAAAACTCTCAAACTGCAGAATTGCACTTCTGAAAATCAATAACAGTCAAAGACTGAATTCCAATGAAATAATGAATAATCTTCCCATTCTGTTATTTTGCTGCCTCTTTCACCAGAGTCAGAGACTACAGAAAGAAAAATATGTATTCTCAGCAGGTCATGGTGGTGCAGGCCTATAATCCCAGCACTCAAGAGGCTGAGGCAAAAGGACTGCTGTAAGTTCAAGGCCAGCCTAGGCGAGAAAGTGAATACAAAATCAGCCTAAACTGCATACTGAAAACTTGTCTCAAAAAAGACAAAAAAAAAATTATTCTCACCTTCAGCACACTATCCAATCAACCTGTCTGAATCTTTATCAGTCCATGATTTTCCTTTATAAGTTGGTCCCATTCAATTCACTATATACTAAAAATCACTACTTACAAAACTATCCTTTCTACTTCATCAATTTCCTTCTTTTTGAAATAATTTTCTTGAGCCTATAAACATGTTCTAATATCTTACATCTTCAAATATATTCCCTGTATTCCATGCCTGCTTCCCTTTTATGTCAAAATTCCTCCAAAGAAGTGGCTTTAGATGCTTGATCAGACTTAGGACAAATTTCATTGGCAAAGTTACTTCATAGTTGACACTGTTCTTTCATTGCAAAAACAATGTCTGATTGTCTTTTCTTTGTGATGCTATCAGCGTTGGCATTCCAATAGTTCTTTTTTTTTTTTTTTTTTTTTTTTGTCTTTTTCTTTTTCTTTTTTTATCGGTACCAGGGATTGAATTTACGACCACACACTTGCAAGGCAGGTGCTTATGCCGCTGAGCTAAATCCCCAGCCCCTTTAATAGTTCTTTATGGGTTCCCAAATGGTAATATCTGAATTCCATCATTCCTTCTTCATTTAGTCACTGAATACTTTTATTAAAAGGAGACCTACTTCAATCTATCTGATAATATGGTTTCTTATAAGAAGGCTAAATAAATGTTTCTTTTCCTTTAAAATTTGTTTCTCAAATAACTTAGTTCTATACCAGATTCCAGTGGTAAACAATTTGTTGTTAGGAAGTTAGGGTGTAGCTCAGGGATACAGTACCTGCTTTGCATGTGAAAGGTCCTGGGCTTAATTCCCAGCACTACTCTCTAAAGGAGAAAATTATGGAATCAAGTAATTTATGCTGTGTAACATATTGCAGTTATTCAGTATATTAATGGTAAAACAGTCCCATTTTTGGCCACTGGGATCTTCTTTAAATTGGTTCCTCTTCTACCCAAAATTACCCCATTCACTCATTCTAATTCTCCTTCTCATTACCTTATTCACTTTTCTTCATAATACTTAATCCTTTTGTAATATTTATTTTTGTTTTGACAACCTTCTCCCAACTTTTCCTTTTTATGTTTATTTATACATTTAGCTATTAATATATCCACTTATATCATTTAATGGGCTTATTATTCAAAACATTATGCTTTACTAAAAAGAATATTTAATGTGATTTGCATTACTTCTTTTGTTTAAGCTTCCTGTTTTCTGCCAGTTCTACACATTTTGAAAGAAGGAGTTTGTTTATAAGATTGTGGTTCCCTGGCTTTGGAGAGTTGAGAAGAGAGCACTGCTTCCATGCACATCTCCATCTTCCTAGAGCCACAACTCAGGGTGCTTGGACTTCCATTATACATGTGTGCTTTGTATAAATAAATATTTGTAATTTTACACTGAAGATGGAATAAGCTTCTCACTGTATATATTTTACTTTACAAATTTAAAAACTATAATCCTTTATATATCTGTTTTTGGAAAGCTGTAAGTTTTATGGCAAACAATTAGTATTGTGAACTTTTTATGATCCTCAGAAGTATATAAAAATCTTATTAATCCCTTTATTCTTTTACTTCCTTAACTCTGGATATACCAAAAACAAGTCTTTACTTTCTTTGTTTTATCATTATAAAAATAAAATATTTTGCTAGTTAAAAAGTGTGGTTCCTCTTTCTATAATCTATTGCAGTATAAATGTATGCAGAATAGATTTGTACATCTACTATAAACTGAAAGAAAGAAAAACTACACAGGAAATTAAGCTGCTAAAGGCTCCTTTAACCAGTCAGGAGTAAATACAAAAAGGAAACATCGAAGAGAGGAGAAAGTTTCTGATTTTCATTAGCATATGAAAATACAACAAAATACAGTCAGTTACAAAAATCTTAGCTAACAGTTTCAGGTTTTCAGCTGATAATATAGTCTATAGACAAAGAATCCTATCTAAAGCAGCTCATTAGACTCAGATCTCTCTTGGATCTGCTGAATTGATATCTGCATATAGGATTGCACTGTGGCTCAGTCGCAGGCCACTTGCCAAGGGAGGCCCTGGGTTCCATACCTAACACCACAAAGCAACACAAAATGAAACTAGAGCCTGCATTTTAACATGATCCCCACATGGTTTGTATGTACCATAGAATTTTACTGAGAAACTTTTTTTGGGGGGGTCTTCTTTGAGACAGAGTCTTGCTATGTAGTTTAGGCTGGCCTTGAGCACACACTGTAACCCAGGCAGGTCTCAAACTCACAATGATCCTCCTGCCTCAGCCTCCCAAGTGCTGGGACTATAGGAGTGCGCCACCATGCCTGGCTCTGAGAAACATTATTTTACAATCTATTTCAGGGGATATTGGCACTTGTGCAGCTAATGCAAATAGACAGATCATGTAGATGAATTTCCCAATACTTAGTAAACCATTTACTTGTTTTGTCGTGCTGGAGATTGAATATAGGGCCTTGACTGTGCAAGGCAAATGCTCTACCACTGAGCTATACCACCAATCCATTTACTGGTTTACTTGCTTACTGTATGAATCTCCTACTACAACATCAACTGAATGGAAAGAAGGCAATGAAGAAAAGTATATGTAAAAGTTGGAATACAAAAGATGAACTAGAAAAAAACTAGATCCAAAATGCAGGAAAAATGATTATCATTACGAAAAAAGTTTTCCCCTATTGAAAGGGGAGGGAACTATGAGAAAGAAGAAACAAGTAGTGCATAGAAGCAGATGAAATCTCTTTGGTGACTCAGCCTGAAAAGGTCTATGTTTTTTTTCCAAGTTTCAGATCTCATCTTCACAATCAACATCTTAGGGTTGTGTTTCCTCTCAACCAGGAGGTGTACACCATGCCACAGCAGTTTACCTCTGTCTGACTAGATTTGCTTACCTAGACTCCATCTTTTCTCATCCTGCATAAGCATCCAGGGCTCTTTCCCCTGTTCCAATAAGGTAATCACATGTGGTTTGGTAATAGAACATCCTGCTTGAAAGAAAAGTAGATAGTAAAGAAAAAAATTATTTGATCAAGTCTCTTGAACTAAGAAGGAGCAGGATTGAAAAATATTCAAATTAATTTTAGGATCATAAGGAAAAACAAGAACCAAGATGTAGATCTTATTTAATTTAAACTCCTATAGGCTCTCCTTTGAGAGAAAATAATAGTTTGGCATACAGGATTCAAATCCTACCTCTCATATCTGAGTGACTAGGATAAATAATTTCATCTCTGTGCCTGTTTTCTGTTTCTTGCCAGGATATTTGTTTAGTCTTAAATGTGTATTTCTCATATCCCACACTTTTAATCACAAAGCAGTTAAAAGAGAATATGTCTGTTTTAAGAAACTGAATAGGTCCACTTGAGTTTTAATTAACCCAGTTTCATATACATTGTATATGTTCTTAAGTGGTAAGCAGGGTCAGAATCTCTCTTGCTAGTCTTACTGTAGGCAGGTCCATGAATAACATGGACTGTTGCTAGCAGTGTGATTCCAGACTGCTTTGCAGTAATCTTGCTGTGTCTAAGAATTTATACTAAGGGATCAATATAGAGATAATAAGAAACAAAGGAAGATGTAAAGCACACTGAATTACAGTGGGAAATGAAAATGCTTTAATAGAGATATCTGTTCCCAAACCACAAAGAGATATTCAGACAGTTTTTAGAAAGCCTTGATACTTAGTTTTACAAACTTCTAAATTGTTTGATACAAATAAGCTTACCTAGTGACACCAAGTTGCTATAGTTCTCTAATACTACATCTCTGTACAAATCTCTCTGATAGGAGTTCAGGCATTCCCACTCTTCCTGAGAAAAGTCTACAGTCACATCTCTAAACATCACCAAATCCTGAAATGACAAACACATGTATTATTCATAAGGTGAAGGAAAACAACTTTAAGATGGTAAAAGGGTCTTAAATACATATGCTCATTTTATATATCAAATAATCAGGCTGATGCTAGAAACCTGCAATGTCTGTAAGTGGGAATAAGGAAGTAAGTGTGACTGAAACAACACACGTGTTCCTGAAAATTTCTACTGCATGCCTGAAATCTCAGCATTCTGGGAAGCTGGCAGGTCTGAGTATAGCTTGGGCAATTTAATGAATTAGTGAGACCATGTCTCAAAATTTTGAAAAGTTAAAAAGCAGCTGAGGAGCACAGCTCAGCAAGAAAGCCCTGGACTCAATCTTTGCTACTTAAAAAAAGATAACACACACACACCAGAGACTAGTAAATGTTTTCTACAAGGGGGCAATACTAAGCTTTGCATGTGACATATAGTCTCTGCTACATTTTCTTCTTCTTTTTAAACAAGTTTCTTAAAATGTCATTTGCTTTCACAAAAGCAGACTTTGACTAATGGGCCAAACGTGTAGTAACTGTAGTTTGCAAACACTGCTATAGCCAAACCTTCTTATATATTATGTGATACCTAATTTTATTTCTTTTCAGACATGTTCAGGTGATTATCAGAAACTCCCTGTTAACTGAAGTAACAGAATACTGCTTGCAAAGGACCTAAACATTTATCAATAAATATAACTTATTCTATCTTCTTTTCCTTTAAGGACTAGAAAAAAATTGATGGAATTTCTCCCCTGAATGAACAGTAAAATCTCTATTTTGAAAAAGTTTGCATAAAGTTAAAGAATTTCTTTTGGACTTAGCTGTCCTTATATTATATCATTATCATTTTTCTTTATTATAACAAACCATTTATTGAATATTTTAACATGCCATAGAGTAGTCCACTTTTGGGACATGTTAGATTACAAAGCAGTTATATTTAGATATTACTACACTTTAAAATATTTAAATTACATTTCAAATTTAAAAGAAATTCTAAAACTACAATGTCGAACATGTTAGCTTACAAATGTAGTTATTGAGCACTCAACTTGTGACCAGTCCAAATTCAGATGTGCTAGAACATATAAATGAAATTGGGTTTATTTATACCAGATAGTGAAGAGTTTAGGAAGAAAAGAATGCAAAATATCTCAGTGATTTTTATATTAATTATACATTTTAAATGATATTTTGGTTATTTTGGTTTAAATGAAACATTACAATTAGCTAGTTTCTTTTTACTATTTTATGACTACTAAAATATGTAAGATTATGTATATACCTTGCATATTATTCTATACTTTAAAACTTTTTGAGTACTAGAAAATTTTTAATTACATATGTAGCTCATATTACAATTCTTTTTGGCAGTGCTACTCACGGTATTCTCTAAATCTAAGAATCTCAGATTACATATTACCCTCTAGACAATTTTTGCTCCAACTCTGCTCCAAACAACAGACAGGAGATACTGACAGACTGTTAGCTGGGTGTGGTGGTGCACGCCTGTAATCCAAGCACTCCAGAGAATGAGGCAGGAGGAGCACCATGAGGTAAGCCTGGGTTATACAGTGAGTTCAAGGCTAGCCTTAGCTACATAATGAGACCCTGTCCTAGAAAACAAAAACCAAAAATCTTGGTCAGTGTGCACACAACCACAAAGGGAGAACAGAGGGGCACACAGGAAGCACCTGGTGAGTCAGGCTTACTCCCTCACTGGAATAGGAGAGACTTGGAAGCAGCTGTTGAGGTGGGGCTCTGCCAGGAAGTTTCAGAATAGTAAGTGAGAATGTTCACATAAGCTATTAAAAAAAGCCACAGAATTTTATTTTGTAAGACAAAGTTTCTATATGTTATCCAGGCTGACCTTGACTTGCTGCGCAGCCCAGGTTGGTCTTGAAATCACCATCCTCCCACTGCTGCTTCCCTAGTCATGGGATTACAAACATGCGCCACCAATTCCAGCACAAAGATAGAATTTTAAGTAGACATAGACTTTTAAATAGACAGCAACTAACTTACATGAGCCATGATTTTAAAGTTGCAACAACTGGCCAGTATTCCTTAAGATTCATTTACTAAAGTAGCAGAGTCCACACAAGCCAGAGCTGGGGGAAGAATATAAAGTCATCAGAACAGAATTGCCTCAGAGCCTCTAAATGTTAAAAAACTTTTATATAATACATCTCCACTTCTCCATGCAATCATGACTCCCAAAACATAGATAAGTTATGAGAGGTTAGGATGTAGATGAGACAAACATCTGTCCTCTCCAAAACTCTAGGAAAACCAGCTGCAGGGGAACTAGACACACAGCAGAGAATCTCTTGCATCAAAGCACAAGCTCAGCCACATAGCAGAAGAGCTTCTAATTAGTCTCTGTCTCTGACACATAGAACAGGTCTCTGGACCTGACAAGGCACTGTGTAAACCTGTCCTGAGCAGATCCACCCTCCATTCCCATCTTTCCAGTTTAGAAGAGGATACACCCTTTACACCAGAACTTCCTTCCTGGAAGAACAGCTTCCCAATCTTGAAGTTACAAAAAGCCCAGTCAAAAATTTCCCAAACTTTTTCATGAGTTGGATCACCTGGAAATATTCATATATGCTGATACCTAGCCTCCACACCAACCACTATGATTTAGTTAGTATAGTATATAATCTTGAAATGATTTTAAAGGCCACCTTAGGTTTTTATAAAATCTCCCTTTGGATAAGGCTGAGACATTTTCAGCTAAATGGATGTACCTTGAGGGCATTCTCTTAAGTGAAATCAATTGGACCACGTGTAAATACCTTATTGTTTCTCTGGTGAGAGAAACCAAAAGTGGAAATAAGGACCAAAATGTGTAACAGATATTGTGAAATATAAAGCAAATGTTTAAATAGGAAGGGAACTAGGGAGTGGGGAGGGGGAAAAGAAAGAAGGGGAAAAATGATGGGAAAAGAAGGAAAAAAGGAAACAAAGATTTTGTAAATAAGTAGAGGAAAGGAAATTGAAGGGAGGATAGGCGAAAGGGGGAAAAAATCAAGTTGTGTCATGTACAGCTACACATTCCCTATGATGAGTGTCATCATTATGTATACATAAGATATACCAATAAACATAACTTAAAATAAAGCAAATTTAAAAATAAGCTTGTTAGTCAAACTTCAGTGAGCATCAGAATCACCTGAAGAGCTAGATAAGCAGACTGTTGGCTCTACTGCTACAGACCAGTGTTCAGGAGGCTGGGGACTAGATTTCAGGTCTTGGATTTCCAAAAAGTTTCTAGATGACACTGCTACTCTTTTTTTTTTTTTTTTTTTTTTTTTTTTTTTGTCTTTTTCCTTTTTTTTCTATCAGTACCAGGGATCGAACTCACGACTGCCTGCTTACAAGGCAGGTGCTTATGCCGCTGAGCTAAATCCCCAGCCCCGACACTGCTACTCTTGTATTCAGTGACATACTTTGAAAACCGTCTGCACAGATCTTGTCCAGCAGCCTTTATCATGACAAAACTGCAGCCGCACAATGGATCTCAGTGTGGGTCTCAGCTTAGCTACCATCCTAGAATGCTCTGAGCTCACTGCTCACTATTTTCCCATCAACGACCATCAATACTGTCTGCATGTCTGCATGATCACAATTACTACATTTACAAATATATGCAAAACTTCTGAATATAATCTTGAGATTTTTGTTGCCCCAAAAGCCCATAAACAGCATTCAAAGACTTCACATTATGAATCCCTGTCCTGCTTCACTTGAGCTTTTGGCCCATTTTCCTTTTTACAAGAACTCATCACAATTAACTTCACGTTTTCATTGCCCTTGGGAATATGGAAAGCTGATAGAGATGACTAAGCATTATCATGTAATAGCAATAGCTACTATTAAATAATTATGGACTGTGTGCCAAGTACTCCTAGCGCTTTACAGATATTAACTCATGAGATCTTCACAATCACCCAATGAAGTATACACTATCAATTCTGTAATCATAGTATATACGCTTACACTACAGAAAATGAAGCTCAGAAAATATAACCCAAAGTCAGACTTCAGTGCCATGCAAATCCTCTTAATCTAGGCCTAATACTCTTAACCACATTACACCTCTCTCAGTCCATCCAAAGATACAACCAAATTAATTCATGCTGCCAAACCGCATGCTGTATCTGGCTGGTACCAAAACCTTCACTAGTGAATGCCCTGTAGACACTGTTATTCCAGAGTTACTAAGATATCTAACACCCACACTAGTCCTAACAAATCATAACCAAAAACAAACTATGAACACCAACCTTCCACAGCTATTTCTCTATCATCAAAATCCTTAGAACAAAATATACAGCAAATGCCTAATTATAAAACTGCATGAAGAGGACAATAGAAAGAGGAATCTCCTAGTTAGGTTCCTTGCCATTAAATACGCAAGAGAAATCTTCAGCTCTGACCCAATGAACAGACCATTCGTAAGAGTTTTCAAGGGAAGGAAATCAAATAATTCCATGAGGAAATCAAATGCATTTCACAGAAATAAAGAAGCAGCACAAACTCAAGCAACCTGGTCTTTTAGATGAGCATCAGTGACTGGCTTCACTTTAACAAGGGCCCTTTTCTTGGCGACCAGCAAAACTAGGGATGCAGAGGGAGTTCATAACACCTCAAGATTTCCTGAAAGTCAAAAACAGCTCTCCTCGTTTCTCTGGCCCTGGCTAACCTCCACACTCATGCATGAAAGCAAATGAGGAGGCGAAGGGAGAACTGCAACCACCCGCGCGCGTCTGGAATCCCAGCTCTAGATACCCTATCAGCCGTGGGCGTCCCTCTGTCCAGCTGGAACAGACCAGCGGGTGCTCCCGGCCCCCAGAGACCTTTCCCGAACCTGTGTCCTAGTTTTCGCAGGGGACCTCCATTGTGGGGTTCCTCTTGAGTTCCCTCTCGCGCTTTAAAACCAGGCCCAGGTGGCAGACGGGAGACAGAGGTGCGCGGAGCCTCGGGGTCTCCCACAGCACAGTAGGCCGCACCTACAAAAGGGGGCGAAACCGTTACTGTCACACAAACCACCACTCAACCCCTCGGTCTGAGAGTCAACAGACCCTGGCCTGTCCCGGACTCCTTTGTTTAGATTAACAACCACACCCGAGGCTGGCTCACCCGGCCTTAGCCTTCACTCAACTTCAAAGATGCCCAGCGCCGGACTCCACAGCACCAGGATTCTATTGAACGCCCATTTGGTCGGGAGTGCGCAGGCGCACACGCGGGGCGCAGGGCGGAGCCAAATCCGGGGCTGCCTGGAGCTGGGAGGGGGAGTGGAGCCAGCACCGGCCTGGAAGGGAGGCGGGGCAGAGCGGGCTGTAGGGGAGCCTGATGTCCAGTGCCTCAAGCCTATAGAGGGAACTCCCGGAGTGACCGATAATCTTGAGGAAAACTCCAGTCTGCACTCTTGTGAGAACTACAGTTTCAAAGCAGAAAGCTGTATATTCCGGGTTTTTCTCGTTAGGTGCTCCAGTTATATGCACCGCCCCTCTAAGGCACCTATGGATTCTGTCCAGAGTACGCAGGCGCGCGAGGGGGCTGGGGGGGATCCCCGGGAACCAGCGCTATCGGGCCTGATGAGAGACTTACAGGCCTGCGTCAACCCTAGGAATGAGGGAAATTTGGCGCTAGGACCCCGGGTTGGGCTGGAGTGGCCAGATCTTTAGGTCTGGAGTGATGACCCTGGCGGTGGTCACCGAAGCGTTGCTAACATTGTTCTTTTGAATAAGGTGCTATTATTTAGACTTAGCCACTGTACAGTTACCATAGTCACCTTTGTAGTTATGTTTTGTGGGAAGATACATCACCACTATATAAATGTCCCGTACCTCATCAAACTTTTACTTACTAGTTTTAGCATCTACTAGTTAATCTTACCTGAACCACTTATGACAGTGATGGTGTAATGTGATTTTTCGATGGTGTAATGTATTTTTCCGTGTGTGTGTGTGTGTGTGTGTGTGTGTGTGTGTGTATTTTTGTCTTTTTGAGACAGCGTCTCGCTATGCAGTTCAGGCTGGCCTTGAGCTCACTTTGTAGCCCAGGTTGGTCTCGAACTCACAGCAATCCTCCTGCCTCAGCCTCCCAAGTGCTGGGGTTACAGGTCTGTGCCACCACACCCAGCTTCCTGTTATATTTGTTAGTTGTCATTCTACTATAAGAAAGCATTTTCTCACCCATGAATTTTATTTAATTTCTTAAAACAACCCCAAGTTCTTATGTACTCAATGAATTACTCATTTTTTTCATTTTGTAATTGGCTTATACAAGATTTGGCCCGTGGAAGCCCTTTCTAGCTGGATATTGTGTTCTGATAGGTTCCTAACATGTTTTACTATTTTCTTATGTTGTGTCATAAAAACATCAGTGCTTCTTGTACTATCAATGTCCTAGTCACAGTGTGGGAAACAAGGCAGTCATAAGTGGTTCAGGTAAGATTAACCATCTATTTTCCTGCAAATTATTCAGATTTATCGTTCTTTGTGGCTGAGCACATTTTCTTTGTGCATTCATCTGTTGATGGATAAAAAAGGCTGATTCCATAAATTAGCTGTTGTAAATTGTGCTGCTATGAACATGAGTATGTATATTTCATTTAATGTGATGACTTCAAATATTTTGGGAAGACACTCAGAAGAAGTTAGCTTGGTCAAATGGGATTTCTAGTTTTAGTTTTTTAAAACTAAAACCACACTGAGTTCTAGAATGATTGTATTAGTCTAGTGTATATTCCTATTATCAATGTAGAAGAGTTCATGCATCTTTACAACCTTGCCAGCAGCTATTTCTATTTTTGAGTCATTCCTAGTCACTATTTTTGCTGCAGTAAAATGGAATTTCAATGTTGATTTGATTTGCATTTCTCTAGTGGTCAAAGATGCTGAACATTTTTTTTGCATACTTAATGGCCACTTGTACTTTTCTTCTGATCAATTTTGAAAGACCACTTTGACTAAAAAGTAAAACAATCACTTTTACTTTCCT